CGGCAGCCCAGGTGTTTGCTCAGTTGCTGACCCAAAAGTGCTTCATTTTTCCTGCCCGCCCCGCACCTGGGGCAGGCCAGTCATGTGTTAAGTTGCGCTTCTTTGCTGTGGTGTGGGTGGGGGAGGAAGAGTAAACACAGTGCTGGCTCGGCTGCCCTGAGGGTGCTCAAGCACAGGTTTCAAGTCTGGGTTCTGGTGTCCACTCACCCACCCGCCCCCAAAATCAGACAAATGCTACTTTGTCTAACCTGCTGTGGCCTCTGAGACATGTTCTATTTTTAACCCCTTCTTGGAATTGGCTCTCTTCTTCAAAGGACTAGGTCCTGTTCCTCTTTCTCCCCGACTCCACCCCAACTCCCTGTGAAGAGAGAGTTAATATATTTGTTTTATTTATTTGCTTTTTGTGTTGGGATGGGTTCGTGTCCAGTCCCGGGGGTCTGATATGGCCATCACAGGCTGGGTGTGTTCCCAGCAGCCCTGGCTTGGGGGCTCGACGCCCTTCCCCCTGGCCCCAGGCCGCCATCTCCCCACTTCTCCCCTCTCCTCAGTTTTGCTGACTGCTTTTCATCTGAGTCACCATTTACTCCAAGCATGTATTCCAGACTTGTCACTGACTTTCCTTCTGGAGCAGGTGGCTAGAAAAAGAGGCTGTGGGCAGGAAAGAAAGGCTCCTGTTTCTCATTTGTGAGGCCGGCCTCTGGCTTTTCTGCCATGGATTCTCCCCCTGTCTTCTCCCCTCAGCAATTCCTGTAAAGGGTTAAAAATTTAACTGGTTTTTACTACTGATGACTTGATTTTAAAAAATACAAAGATGCTGGATGCTAACTTGATACTAACCATCAGATTGTACAGTTCGGTTGTTGCTGTAAATATGGTAGCATTTTGTTGTTGTTTTTTCATGCCCCATACTACTGAATAAACTAGTTCTGTGCGGGTACAGCACTGTCACTGTCTGCTTCTGTGTGGCACCCTGTCCTCCCACAGGGAGGAAGGCCTGGTCTCTGGAAAACAAAAGAGCTGGCAGGGCCCAGAAGTCCCCACTGGGAGGTCAGGAGACTCAGACGCCACTGGTTGATAAGCCTGTCCCTCGGTCTATGTCCATGACACTGCCCCCAAGTAACCGGATCAGCGCAGAGCCCATTTCCTGGCATTTCCAAGGAAGACCTGGCGGGCAGGCAGGAAAGCGTCCTTTTCACCAGGACAGAAAGGACTTCTGTGGTGGGAGAGGCTGCACAGGGCCGGCAGCCTTCCAGCCCAGCCCCTCAGGGCTGAGTCCTAGACAGGGCTGAGTTTTCTGGGGCAGCATTGAAGAGGCAGGGAGGGCTGCATTGAGAGGCTGGTGGGAATTGAATGGTGCTCAGTGACTCAGTGCCTCCTAGCTACACTGCTCAGGGTTGTTTTTTGTTTTTTTCCCCATTGGAAAATGAAGCAGCTACTCATACTGAAGCCAAGTGTGTGCTCTGCAACATTACTTCTCGTCCTAAGTTTCATATATATATATATATATATATATATGAGATATATATTTAAAAATACATACTTTTTAAATTTAATAGAGACAGGGGTCTCACTGTGTTGATCAGGCTGGTCTCGAATTCCTAGGCTCAAGTGATCCTCCCGCCTTGGCCTCCCAAGGTGCTGGGGTCACAGATGTGAGTTGCCGCATCCGGCCTAGTTCCAGGTTTTGTGTTTGCCAAAGTTCCAGTCAATAAACTAGAAAGACGGCCGGGAGTGGTGGTTTACGCCTGTAATCCCAGCACTATGGGAGGCCGAGGCAGACAGATCACCTGAGAGATCAGGAGTTTGAGACCAGCCTGGCCAACATGGTGAAACTCCGTCTCTACTAAAAATACAAAAGAATTAGCTGGGCGTGGTGGCAGGCGCCTGTAATCCCAGCTACTCCAGAGGCTGAGGCAGGAGAATGGCGTGAACCCGGGAGGCGGAGCTTGCAGTGAGCCGAGATCGCGCCACTGCACTCCAGCCTGGACGACAGAGCGAGACTCCGTCTTAAAAAAAAAAAAAAAAAAAAACACAAACCCTAGCTGGGCGCACTGGCTCACGCCTGTAATCCCAATACTTTGGGAGGCCAAGGCAGGTGGATCACTTGAGGCCAGGACTTAAGAGACCAGCCTGGCCAACATGGTGAAACCCATATCTACAAAAAATACAAAAAAAGCCAGCTGTGGTGGTGCGTGCCTATAGTCCCAACTACTAGGGAGGCTGAGGTGGGAGGTGGCTTGAGCCCAGGAGGCAGAGGCTGCCGTGAGCCAAGATCGCACCACTGCACTCCAGCCTGGGTAACAGAGCCAGACCTTGTCTCAAAAAAAAAAAAAAAAAAAAGACACAAACCCTGGAACCAGACTGAGTGACTTAATCTTTCTGAGCCTTAAGTTTCTCTGCCCACAAAATGAGGATGATGATAAAAGCATCCACCTAATTGAGCTTTTGTGAGGATTAAGTGAGTTAACACATGTAGAGTGCTTGGAACAGTTCATAGTACAAAGTAAGAGGCCAGTAAACACTGGCTTTCTGTGTTGTTGCTACTGGGTGCAGTGGAAGAGTGCATAGACAGAAAAAGTCGAAAGCCAGGCCCAAAGGGAAGGAGACAGGCAGGTGGCTGAGCAAGAAGGGCAGCCGTGGCAGGAGGGCCTCCTCCCTGACTGGCACTGCCTACTGAAAGTGCTGCTGAAGCAGGTTTGGAGTGGGAGGAGGTGGGGTGGGGACAAAACTCAAGGCTGACCAAGAGGGCGAACAGGATGTGCCATGCCCTCTCCAGCCGCCAGGTGGCAACAACACATGGGTCTGCAGCTTGTTTTGCCTCTAACGACCTACCCCGGACATGGCTCACACCCAGCCCACACAAACATGTCACCTTCCAGCCTCACCCAGGTGTGTACCTAAGCCTGCTGACCTTCCAGTGCTTCTATTGGCCTGGGAGCCACCAACAGGCCCTGCTCACTAGACACCAGTGCAGGGCGCAGCTGGGAAGCACACTTGAGGTTTCTTGCCTTACACCAAATTTCTCCAGAGCCGAATACTCCATGTCTGTCTGCATACCCCTTCCCTCCCACCGATTCCTGGAATCCCAGAGGCTGCAGGAGTTGCTGCAGAGCTCAGGGAAAGGTGCATGTCTAGGCACTGTCACTGAAGTAGGTGAATGTGCCAGGTGAACCTTGGAATCAGCCGCAAAAAGGGGAAAGCAGTGGTGGGCCCCTGGCTCCAGGGACAGGGCAAGGACACTCTGGTGCCTAAGTCAGGCATTTATGGCCAAAGAGGCATCGGTCGGGGCACCAGCTGGCAGTCCCACTTCTCTTGCCCACTTACCACTTCTCAAGTCATGGCCTGGCCTTCAGGGAGGGAAGTTTCCTCAAAACTCAGAAGGAATTGAATTGGTTCTGATTACCAGAGTTAAAGACTGCAAAAAAAAGGGAGGCCTTACACCAAATCTGTTAAACGTGTCTTTGTTATTCCTTCAATGAACACCATCTTGCACCCAAATATCTTCGGAATAAATAAACTAAATGCTCTGCTACACACAGGTCACAACACTAGGGTACTGCAGAGGTTTACCGGATCCTGACGCTAGCCCCCAAGTCTAACGGGAGATGAGGAGAGCACGGACAACCCCAGTGATGTAAGTCGGAGTGTGACTAGGTGTTCCAGCAGCTCTGGCTGAGGTGACTAGGGGAGATGAACACCACCAAAGGGCCTTCACGTCTCACGGGGAGGGCAAACAAGAAGCTGGTGTGTTTCCAGGAGGCTCCATTCTTTTGCCAGTAAAGGACATTCAAGTTTAGGATATAAGTAAGAATCTACCTAGATCCTAGCTTAATAGCCTCACTTACTGTGAATTAAGCTACACTTAACTTTCATCTGGACCTTCCAATGATACATGAGACCTGGGGAAGGGCAGCCTGTCCTTGTCTAATGCCATCAAGGGGAGCAGTCACAGCCTGATGAGCCAGAATCTCAAGACCCTAGGGCCTATTCAGGCCCCTGCCTAGGAGGCCCATCCTGGCTACCTGCCTGGAATTAGAGATTTACTCCAAATTTGTTAGAAATTGGAGCAGGGGGCCGGGTGTGGTGGCTCACACCTGTAATCCCAGCACTTTGGGAGGCCGAGGCGGGTGGATCACCAGAGGTCAAGAGTTCAAGACCAACCTGACCAACATGGAGAAACCCCATGTCTACTAAAAATACAAAATTAGCCAGACATAGTGGTGCATGCCTGTAATCCCAGCTACTCGGGAGGCTGTGGCAGGAGAATCCCTTGAACCTGGGAGGCGGAGGTTGTGGTGAGCTGAGATTGCACCATTGTGCTCCAGCCTGGTCACCAAGAGCAAAACTCTGTCTCAAAAAAAAAAAAGAAAAGAAAAGGTCGGGTGTGGTGGCTCACGCCTATAATCCCAGCACTTTTGGGAGGCCGAGGCGGGCGGATCACGAGGTCAGGAGATTAAGACCACGGTGAAACCCCGTCTCTACTAAAAATACAAAAAATTAGACGGGCGTGGTGGCGGGCACCTGTAGTCCCAGCTACTCGGGAGGCTGAGGCAGGAGAATGGCGTGAACCCGGGAGGCGGAGCTTGCAGTGAGCTGAGATCGTGCCACTGCCCTCCAGCCTGGGTGACACAGCGAGACTCTGTCTCAAAAAACAAAAAAGGGAAAAAGAAATTGGAGCAGGGGCTGGGTGCAGTGGCTCACACCTGTAATCCCAGCACTTTGGGAGGCCGAAGCGGGGGTGGATCACCTACGGTCAGGAGTTCAAGACCAGCCTGGCCAACATGGTGAAACCCCATCTCTACTAGAAATACAAAAAATTAGCTGGACGTGGGTGGTGGGCACCTGTAATCTCAGCTACTCGGGAGGCTGAGGCAGGAGAATTGCTTGAATCCAGGAGGTGGAAGTTGCGCTGAGCCCAGATTGTGCCATTAAACTCCAGCCTGGGTGACAGAGTGAGATTCTGTCTAAAAAAAGAAAGAAATAGGAGCAGGATCCACTTCTAGATATACAGAGAATATAAAAATACGTTCACTTTATTTTAGAAAAATGAAGACTCATAGAGTAAGCTTATCACAAACTGGCCTATTAGGAGTCACAGAATTCACAGGAAACAATTTCTGAAGTCCAGGTGCCTGCTGCCACCTCTCCAAGCAGGCCGGAGTCCAGTAGAGAATGCAATTCAGGAAGACGGCTCCTCAGAGGGCAGGGAGGTTAGCGACGGAGGCCACTCATATGGAAATGTCCAGTGAACCAATTCCGGGGAAGAACATCAAATTCTCTGGGGCTGACCACAACTGTGGGGGTGGATAAAGACAAACCACCGGCCTGTACTTCTCATTTTCTGTTTGTTCATTTCACTGCTGGAAGGTGACCTCTTTTCCCCTAATCTTCTTTCAACCCAGAGAGTTTAAGACTTCTCCAGCTCAACCCTAATCCACCCCATTTCCCATGGTCTCTCCTCCTGGGAGACCAGCCCTGGTGGCATCTCTTCCTCCTGTCCCTGGGCCAGAATCTGCTGGCGTCAGGGTCTGCCGGGTAGAGGCAAGTCCAGGTACTGACTGTAGTGGTTTGCTACTGAAGTCTTGCTTGCTGTCCTGATCTCTTTACCTAAAGAGATAGAATGAATAACTGCTTTAAAATGCCCTTCTTCCTCAAGCCCGTTTGTCACCCAGCAGAGTTCAAGCTCCTCAGGGTGGGAAAAAAATGGGATCCCCCTTCCCCTGCCCCAGGCTCCCCTCCTCTCTCCATTTTGCCATACAAAATTCAAGGCTGATGCGCATAAGAGCTTGGAATCCCAGATGATGGCAGGGTAGGGAGACAGGATGGCCAAGGGAGGACCAGACTGACCTGGTAGGTCCTGGGACTGCCACTTTCCTGGGGGGCTGCAGATTGCTGCGAGTGGCACCCGTGACAGGAAGATTTGGTCGCTGGGAAACAGGAACTTCACAGGGTTAACAAAAGAAATGAGTTAGCAGCAAATTTAACTGACCTCGAAAAGAAATACTGGATGAAGGAAGCGAGTGTGGGATTAGTACTCTCCCCCGTGACCATGAGATATTTGAAAACTAAGACTCAGACTCTGTCCAGCCCCATGTCCTCTCTGTAACTCAGTCTCCCCATCTTCCAATCGAATTGCAATGAGGATGGCAAAAGTGGTCACTGTTGCCAGCTCTGGGAGGGTGAGGACATGCTGGGCAAGGGCAGGAATTCTTCCCCCTGACCTCTTACCCTTGTGTCCACTTTCCCGCACTCTGTGTCCTGCAGCGCTTGGTCTTGGAAGCCCTTTTCGAGTTGACACAGAATCCGGAGGTAGGGCACCTCTGCCAGGTGGCACACTCCGGCTGGTGAGTGGCATTCGGCTGGCAGGCCTGGGGATGGCTGAGGGAATGGGCAGTTGACTGGAAGATTTAGCAGCTGCTCCCTGTGGCCGGGGCAGGCGTTGAGAGTTGCTGGCAGAAGGCTGTGGGGCCAGGACTGATCTGACGGGGGCGGGTGGGCCTGGTGGAGAGGCATGGAGAAATTTCAGAGTCAGTCCCACCAACTCCCCACTCCCACTCACCCACAACTTGGCTGCTCAGGTGTCCTCACTGGCTGCTGCTCTCCCACTGGGCCCGGCTCTCCCCCGGACTGGGGGAGTCGATCGGGTAAGAGAAGATGCTGGGCTTTTGGATGCAGGGAACAGATTGCAAGTGGGTGACTCCTGAAACACAAAGAGAGAGAAAAAAGATTAGAGTGGAAAAAATATCTGTTCTGTGGCTTAAGGAATTAAGAAATAGAGGTGGAGAGTTGTCTACATCCCAGTAAGGAAGGGTAGAAGTTAGCTGCTAATATCACCATAACCATCACTATTGCCCATACCATTTATTGAGTTTATTATAGACATTACAGAGCTTATACTCAGACACTGTGGTAAGAGTTTTGGTTCTCTTTTTTCATGGTTCTCATTTAATTCCAACGATTCTAGCTGAAATATTATCCCCGTTTTACCAATAAGGAACCACTCCCTGCCTGCATCATGGCACGCACGAGTCTGGGGCACACTTCCAACTCAACCCTCTCAACTCACCCTCTTCATGTTGGAGGGCCTCTTTCCAGATGTTGTCCGGAGAGCCCTGACTGACCCCTTCCTATCACTGCTCCGGAGTCGAGGCGTCAGGCTGCTTGGGGAGGGGGTACTCCGAGCCAAAGAGTTCACAGTCGGCAGCAGGTCTCTGACAGGACTGTCCTTCAGCACAAAGGTCTCCCGCCGAGGACTGGGCTTCACTCGGCCAGGCCCCAGGCCCTCGCTTGCGCTCTCCCGCTCCTGCAGGGCACACTGCTCCAGCTGGGCGGCCAGCCGGTTGGCCTCATCGAGGATCTCCTCCAGTTTCTCTGGGCTGAGGGGGCCTAGGCTGAGCCTCACACCCTGGGGGGCAGGAGCCACGGCATTTGGGTCACTTCGGTGGGAGAGGCCCCGTCGAAGTGGTTTCTCTGGAGTCACCAACACTGTTATGTCTTCCTCCTCACGGCTGAGACAGGAAACAAACCAGGCATCATGCCCGTGCAAAAGAGAACAGGAGTTTATGCAAGGGAGACTGCACAAAAGCCCCACAACAGAGCCAGGGACATGACCCTAGGCCCTGATGCCCATGCCGGCTGTGAGCTGTGGCCTCTGGGTGATGAGATACCTGGTTCTATGGGGCCTAATAGGCCTTTAGCATTTACGGACATCAGAAATGATGCCAGGATGGAGATGCAGCAAATCCACTTACCCTTTTTCTTAACACCCTGAAATCTAACTCCAGCTTCTCCCTTCTCTCCCCACTACCAGTAGTGTCATAGAGGCCCAAGTCAGCCACCCGCCCAGCAGCCCCAAGTGCGCCAAACCTTGCTAAATTACCAACCCAAGCCCCAGAGGCCAGTAATTCAGCAGTAAGGGGTTAGAGACAAAGAGGTACTGTTAGAGGAAAATAAGTGGGATAAAGAGGTGGTACCTGTCAGATGGTGACAGCCCCCCAAAGTCCAAGGTCTCATCCACAATAAACCTTACATCTGAAGGGGAAAGAAGAATGAAGGCCAGTCATGGGTTCCTGATGCAGCTCTCCATCGCTGGGTCTCACTCCTCCCTCTCATTCTTCCCTCCCTCATTTCCTTACCTTCCTCCAAATCCTCCATGTCCAGCCAGCACGAGCGAGAGTCCAGTTAGATCTGAGCTGGAGAGAAACAATACCTTTCCTCAGTATCCTTTCTGCCCAAGTCTCGCAGCTAGATTCAGGGTGCAAGCCAGGGGCGGGGGTCATGCTGGAGGCAAAGCAAGCACCCAGGAGTGGCACCTCCCGCATAACTACTCCTGCTACTTCCAGGAAAGATACGGAGGGCTCCCCCGACTGCCCAGATTGCCCTGGAGCCGCCCCGCATCCTGGCCTCTCCTCACTGGGAGCGGTCTGCACGCCTCACCTTCCTCCCCGCCACTAGCCTCAGGGTTCTGCACTCCCCAAGCCACCTTTCTACTCCCCTGGCATCACACGCAAAGCACACCTCCAGCCCACCCTATTTCCAGTTCCCGCGCTGCCTTATCTTCCACGCAACAGGCTTTCTCCCGCAACCTAGTCCCGGGAATCAGCTCCGAGGGGGCGGGGCTCCTTTCGAATCTCTCAGGCCCCACCCACTCAAGCCACACGCGCACTGTGATTGGTGAATCCTCAGGGGGCGGGACAGCGGAGCTGCCGGCCGGAAGTCAGTCGATGGGGGCGGTGGGAGGACCGTTCCCAGAAGACTCCATCCCGGGCGGCCAACGCGGAGCCAGAGGGTTGAGGCCGCGAGTGCGCGTGCTCGCGTGCCCGGAGATTCTCTTTCCCACAGGCAGATGACAGCGGAGCGAGGCTGGCCGGGAGGGAAGGAAGGGACACACGAGTATGGACCTCGCGCCCCACCCCGCTGTCGCTGCTGGGCCGCCGAGCCCCCAGTCTCCAGAACGGTTGTGCTGCCTAACGCGGCCGCTGACCGACGCTCTGCGGGAGGAAATTCGTTTTCTTGGGCGCACTCAATATGCAGGCGCCGCATTGGCCAGGATTCCTCAGTTGAGGGTTTTTTCCAAGTTAAGGAAGCACCTAAACACTTACATTGTAGTTATATTGAGGTTCTCTAAGTACATCCATCGCCTCTTCAAGAACCTGAGGCAGCTGAGGTGTAAAGAAAGCAACGGGCGGCCGGGCGTGGTGGCTCAAGCCTGTAATCCCAGCACTTTGGGAGGCCGAGATGGGCGGATCACGAGGTCAGGAGATCGAGACCATCCTGGCTAACATGGTGAAACCCCGTCTCTACTAAGAAATACAAAAAATAGCTGGGCGAGGTGGCGGGCGCCTGTAGTCCCAGCTACTCGGGAGGCTGAGGCCGGAGAATGGCGTGAACCCGGGAGGCGGAGCTTGCAGTGAGCTGAGATCCGGCCACTGCACTACAGCCTGGGCTACAGAGCGAGACTCGGTCTCAAAAAAAAAAAAAAAGAAAGCAACGGGCTTTTCACCCAGGCAGGCTGGGGTTCAAATTCAACCCAAGTTTGACTTCAAAACCCAAGTTTCGGTTTAGAGGCGGCTGCCTTGAGTATATTTGCCCTCTTTTCACCTCTCTTTGCTGATCTGTGAAAGGAAGATGGTGGTCCTCGCAGTTATGGTGTTAGGAGGATAATTATGAGGGCGTTTTCTACTGTGTGCCCTTAGGGGACTTAGACGGGGTGTTTGTAAGTAGCCCTCTCTGAACTAAAAGCAGTATTTGTAAAATGCTTAAGCCAACTTGTTAGGAGTGTTGTCTCTGTTGTTTCTAGATGTTGCCCGGGCCACCAGTGAACTTGTCAGAGGCTTCAGAGCAGAGCGACTCCATCTTGAATAGAGGCTGGGTAAAATAAGGCTGAGACCTGGGCTGTATTCCTAGGAGGTTAGGCATTCTAAGTCACAGGATGAGATAGGAGGTTGGCACAAGATACAGGTCACAAAGACCCTGGTGATAAAACAGCATGTGGTGAAGAAACCAGCCAAAACCTGCTGAAACCAAGATGGCGGTGAAACTGACCTCTGGTGGTCCTCACTGCTCATTATATGCTCATTATAATGTATTGGCATGCTGAAAGGCGCTCCAGACAGCGCTACACAGTTTACAAATGCCATGGCCACATCAGGAAATTACCCTATACAGTCTAAAAAGGGGAGGAATTCTTAGTTCCAGGGAATTGCCTACCCCTTTCCCAGAAAACTCATGAATAATTCATTCCTTGTTTAGCATATAATCAGGAAATAACCATAAAAATAGCCAACCAGCAGCCCTTGGGGCTGCTCTGCCTCTGGAGTAGACATTCTTTATCCCTTTTCTTTCTTAATAAACTTGCTTTCACTTTATGGACTTGCCCTGAATTGTTTCCTGTGCAAGGGCCAAGAACCCACTCTTGGGGTCTGGATCCGGACCCCTTTCTGGTGACAACAGGAAGAGATAGCAGGTCCGCACAAGATACAGGTCACAAAGATCCCTCTAATAAAACAGGGTGCAGTAAAGAAGCCGGCCAAAATCTGCCAGAAACCAAGATCGTAAAGAAAGTGACCACTGGTATCCTCACTGCTTGTTATATGCTAGTTATAATTCATTAGCATGCTGAAAGACACCCCTGGCAGCGCCATGACGGTTTACAAATGCTATGGCAACATCTATATGGTATAAAAGGAAGAGGAGCCTTCAGTTCAAGGAAATCATGCTCCTTTCCCAGAAAACCTATGAATAATCCACCCCTTGTTTAGCACATAATCAAGAAATAACCATAAAAATAGCCTACCAGCAGCTCTTGGTGCTGCTCTATGGAGTAGCCATTCTTTCATTCCTTTACTTTCTTAATAAATTCACTTTCACTTTACTCTGCGGACCCACCCTGAATTCTTTTCAAAGATCAAAGAATCCTTACTTGGGGTCTGGATGGATCAGGACCCCTTTCCAGCAATAAACTGAGCTCCTACAAATGTTCTGAATATTTAAAGTGAAAAAGCCCTAAGGGAATGGTTGAGAAGCTTTCTGGTAAACAGAACCTGAGCTTTAGTCCCCAGAGTTCATGCCCATTATTTTGGCCATTTATAGGCTTTCTTGTTTACTTCCTAGTTTTTGGCTGTGACATTGAGGTGGTGAGGTCTGCAGGAGTGAGATGTCACTGTAATAAATACCATCAGAGACCAAGGAGCTGGAAACCAAAAATAAAATTCTAGGCCCCCCAACCGACTGAATGGACCCATTCTCTCCAACAAGGGCATTCCAGATTTAACCTGGAAAACTAGTTCAGGCCATAATGGAAAGTGGGGGGGTGGACATGCCTCATTATACTCTCTGCCTTTTGGGATTCAGACACAGCTGACCAACATTAACATTAAAACAGAGATCTTGCTGGGCGTGGTGGCTCACACCTGTAATCCCAGCACTTTGGGAGGCCGAGGCAGGTGGATCATCTGAGGTTGGGAATTTGAGACCAGCCTGACCAACATGGAGAAACACCGTCTCTACTAAAAATCCAAAAAAAATACAAAAAAATTAGCCGGGATCATGCCACTGCAGTCCAGCCTGGGTGTCAGAACAAGACGCTGTCTCAAAAACAAACAAAAAAAACAAACAACAACAACAACACCACAAAGATCTTAAGGCTAAGGAAACAGACTTTTTTTTTTTTTTTTTAGACGGAGTCTCACTTTATTGCCCAGGCTGGAGTACAGTGGTGCAATCTCAGCTCATTGCAACCTCTGCCTCCTGGGTTCAAGCGATTCTCCTGTCTCAGCCTCCCAAGTAGCTGGGATTACAGGCACACGCCACCATGCCCAGCTAATTTTTGTATTTTTAGTAGAGACGGGATTTTGCCATGTTGGCCAGGCTGGTCTTGAAACCTTGACCTCAGGTGATCTGCCCACCTTGGCCTCCCCAAGTGCTAGGATTACAGGGATGAACCACCACGCTTGGCCAGAAACAGACTTTTTGTAGCAATAATATTACTGGAGAGGGGTCCTGATCCAGACCCCAAGTGAGGGTTCTTGGATCTCACACAAGAAAGAATTCAAGGCGAGTTCATAAAGTGAAAGCAAGTGATTAAGAAAGTAAAGGAATAAAGAATGGCTACTCCATAGGCAGAGCAGCCCTGAGGGCTGGCGGTTGCCCATTTTTATGGTTATATCTTGATAATATGCCAAACAAGGGGTGGATTATTCATGCCTCCTTTTTTCAGACCATATAGGGTAACTTCCAGATGTTGCCATGGCATTTGTAAACTGTCATGGCGCTAGTGGGAGTGTAGCAGTGAGGTCACTCTCATCATCGTCTTGGTTTTGGTGGGTTTTAGCCAGCTTCTTTACTGCAACCTGTTTCATCAGCAAGGTCTTTATGACGTGTATCTTGTGCTGACCTCCTTAGGATCTCATCTTGTTACTTAGAATTCCTAACTGTCTGGTAATGCAGCCCAGTAGGTCTCAGCCTTATTTTACCCAGCCCCTATTCAAGATGGAATTGCTCTGGTCCAAACGCCTCTGACAATAATACGCCAAATTCCAGCCTGATTCTAGTATAGTATCACATGACAGACAGTAGACCCTGAAAGAAATTATTTTACCCCAAAATATATTTTTCTTTTCTTTTTCTTTTTTCTTTTTTTTTTTTAGAAGCAAATGAAGCACAAAATTTATTGTGTGTTTTTTTTTTGTTGTTGTTGTTGTTGTTGAGACGGAGTCTCACTCTGTTGCCCAGGCTGGAGTCCAGTGTTGCAATCTCAGCTCACTGTAAGCTCCACCTCCCAGGTTCACGTCATTCTCCTGCCTCAAGTAGCTGGGACTACAGGTGCCTGCTATCACGCCAGGCTACTTTTTTGTATTTTTAGTGGAGATGGGGTTTCACCGTGTTAGCCAGGATGGTCTCGATCTCCTGACTTTGTGATCCTCCCGCCTCGGCCTCCCAAAGTGCTGGCATTACAGGCGTGAACCACCGCGCCTGGCCCGCAAAATTTATTTTAAAAGATGCTGCAAATTCACTCATCTGCTCTAAATAACTCCTGTCCTTTGGGATCCTGTTATAGGCAATGTACACAAGACTTTCCAGCGCAATATATATATTTTCAGTAGCTCTTTGGGAAACAGGTGGTGTTTGGTTACATGAATAAGTTCTTTATGGTGATTTCTGAGATTCTGGTACACCCATCATGCAAGCCGTGTACATTGCACCAAATTTATAGTCTTTTATCCCTCACCCCACCCCACCCTTTCCCCTGAGTCCCCAAAGTCCATTGTATCATTCTTACGCCTTTGTGTCCTCATAACTTAGCTCTCACCAAAATCTATTTCTTTGACATATTTTGAAATGGCCCTGCAGAGCTGTCTCTTGTGGGGAAGATCTACATTCTGTAGAGAATTCCCATTCCTTCCCAGGTATCTTCCCTGATCCGGGAGAGAACTAGGAGTCCAGCACCTTTTTAGGTCTGATAAGAGCTCTGAAGTCTGCTACCTGGAGGGTTCACCTGCATAATAAAACCTTGATCTCCATAACTTTTTATCTTAACCCAGACAGATCTTTCAATTGGTTCCAGGTCTTAGATAATAACTCTTTTAACCTATTGCCAATCAGAAAACCTTTGAATCTGCCTATGACCTGGAAGCCCCTCCACCCCTGCTTCAAGTTGCCCGGCATTTCAGCTGAACCAATGTTCATCTCACATGTATTGATTGATGTCTGATGTCGCCCTGAAATGATTAAAACCAAGCCATAGCCCAACCACTTTGGGCACATGTTGTCAGGATCTTCTGGGGCTGTGTCAGGGGACCTTGGTCACTCATATTTGGCTCAGAAGAAATCTCTTCAAATATTTTATAGAGTTTAACTCTTTTCATTGACAGAGCCTTAGGATTTAGGGTGGGAAGACCCAGAACTTGCAAGTTTATGTGAGGAAGAGCAGAGAGAAGAGGATTGCCTCTTCTGCTAATGAAGATGGAATGCCAGTTGCTTGCAGGATGTAGGGTACATGGAGGGTGGGGAAACCAGAACCAAGTAGGGCTTCCCTCTCTCCAGGCAAGTAGTAGCCAAGTGGAGATCAGAGGGGAAGAAGGGAAGATGCTGTTAATGAACTGCGTTTCTTCTTCCCCTCGGAGCAGCCCGAGTAGAGAAACTCTACACTTCATGCATCCTTGGATGAGTAGAGGAGGAAGTTTTAGCAAACTGGAAGTTAATTTCTCCTAAGGAAACTCCACCAATTTATGATTTATTTTTATTGTTATTATTATTATTTTTGAGAGACAGAGTTTTGCTCTGTCACCCAGGCTGGAGTGCAATGGTGTGATCTCATCTCACTGTAACCTCCACCTCCTGGGTTCAAGTGATTCTCCTCCCTCAGCCTCCTGAGTAGCTGGAATTACAGGCATGTGCCACCACACCCAGCTAGTTTTATATTTTTAGAAGAGACACGGTTTCACCATGTTGGTCAGGCTGGTCTTGAACTCCTGACCTCGGATGATCCGCCTGCTTTGGCCTCCCAAAGTGTTAGGATTACAGGTGTGAGCCACTGTGCCCAGCTCACATTATGATTTTGAAAGCTGTTGCAGTACCAGGAAAAAAAAAAAAAACAAGGCAACAGAACTTTCATCTCCATTAGAAAGACAGCAAAGCCAGAAAGTATAGCTTTCAGGCACAAAAGTTCTTCGCCCAGCCAGTAATCTGGGAAATATTGATATTTGTTTTCCTCACCTCAACCCCAAAATGACATGTAGGAACAGGTGTTTAAGTTTTTGGATAAATAATGAATTAGTGAAGAAATTCTGGTTGGTCGCGGTGGCTCATGCCTATAATCCCAGCACTTTGGGAGGCCGAGGCAGGCGGATCACAAGATCAGGAGATCGAGACCATCCTGGCTAACACAGTGAAACCCGATTTCTACTAAAAATACAAAAAATTAGCCGGGCGCGGTGGTGGGCACCTGTAGTCCCAGCTACTCGGGAGGCTGAGGCAGGAGAATCTCTTGAACCCAGGAGTTTGAGGTTGCAGTGAGCCAAGATCATGCCACTGCACTCCAGCCTGGGTGACAGAGCGAGACTCTGTCTCAAAAAAAAAAAAAAAAAAAAAAAAAGAGAAGAAAGAAAAAAAGAAAGAAAGAAATTCCACCTCTCCCAGCCACATAGTAGGCCTGAACTCAGAAGTCCTCCTTAAGTGTCAGATGCCTAAATGAGAACAGTAAGGACTCCAGCGTGCTTCTCCTTTGATGCAGAATGTGGCTGGAGATCTTGGGCAGTGTGATTTTATTTCTTCACCATGAAGTTTGGGAATATATAATCTTTAAGGGATGACCCTTGAGTAATTCAGGGAACAGCAGAGGCATGGGGCTGTGGGCTGAGGCCAAAGGTCTGACTTATCCTTAGGGCATCGTAGCTGGGGTCACCCCTTCCTGACCTAGGTCCTGCTTCCACTGGAGGGAGGCCTCTTTGCCATTGTGTACATGGCTGGCTGTCACTGGACTCACTCTGGTCCCTCCCCCGACATTCTCAAGCAGGGGTTCCCTACAAATGATTCGCATGACTATTTTCTCAATTTTCAAAGGGATAGTATATAACTAGTAACATTCTAATTGCATAGAAATAAGTTAATTTATGACACAAAGGATACCTTATGGCATGGAGGCTTAATTCTTGTGGAACTTCAGTTGAGGACTGGAATAGATACTTTGCCTCAACTGAAAATAGACCTTTGGTCTGAACAAAAAAGCCCTTCACATTCTGCTCAACCAAATTGCTTCCCCAACCTCCTCAAAACCTTTCCTAATATGTATTGCCTCCTGGAAATATTTTCTTTCTTAAACACATGATTCCAACCTAGACCCTCTACAGTGGGGATCGCCGGATGAAAGGGATGAGAGAAAACAGGAAAGCCTTGGAGTCAGACAGACCTGGTTCAAATCCTAGCTCTGCTGCTTACCAGCTGCATGACTTGGGACAACTTGTGAACTTCAACTTCCTCATTTGTAAAATGAAGATTAAAAGAGATAAGGCACTGAGTTCAGTGCCTGTTGCATAGAAGGCTGTTTTAGTAATCTATGATTAAATAGCAAACCACTTCAAAATTTAGTGGCTTGAAACAACAGCCACTATTTATTTGCTCATGAGTTTACAATGTGGGCAGGGCTCTCCAGGGGTGATTTGTCTCTACAAGGTGCTCGACTGGGGCTCTGGGGTCCAAGGTGGCCACATGTGTCTGGGGCCAGGGTGCTGGCTGTCAGTGGGGATGCTTGGTTGTCCTCCACGTGGCCTCTCATCATTCAGTAATGTAGCCTGAGATCCTTTACATGGGAGCTGACTTCTAAGAGGAAAAGTAGAAACTATGGTACCTCTTAAGGCCCAGGCCTGGACTGGCACCTCTTCACTTCTGCTACATTCTTTCGGTCAGAGCAAGTTACATGATTCAACGGAAGGGGAAACAGACTCCAACTCCTGATGAGAGGAGCAGCATGCTCATACAAAGACAGGAGGAACTGTTATCATCTTCTGTAGATTCTATCACAGAACACCTTCCATATCTTATTTGTCATCAGAATGAAAACAAAGATAATCAAGGGAACCTCACCTTTATTCTTTCCTGGGTTTAATGAGACTCTGCTCCAATTTCTTTTTTCTTTTTTTTTTTTTCTTTTTGAGGCTGAGTCTTGCTCTGTTGCCCAGGCTGGAGTGCAGTGGCATGATCTCGGCTCACTGCAAGCTCCAGCTCCTGGGTTCAAGCGATTCTCCTCCCTCAGCCTCCTGAGTAGCTAGGATGAGAGGCGCCCACCACCACACCTGTCCAATTTTTTTGTATTTTTAGTAGAGACAGGTTTTCACCATGTTGGCCAGGCTGGTTTTGAACTCTTAACCTTAAGTGATCCGCCTGCCTCGGCCTCACAAAGTGCTGGGATTATGGGCGTGAGCCACAATGCCCAGCCTAATTTTTGTATTTTTGTATTTTTTTTTTTTTTTTGAGACAGAGTCTTGCTCTGTCGCCTAGGCTGGAGTGCAGTGGCGTGATCTCGGCTCACTGCAAGCTCCGCCTCCCGGGTTCACGCCATTCTCCCGGCTCAGCCTCCTGAGTAGCTGGGACTACAGGCACCCGCCACCACACCCGGCTAGTTTTTTTTGTATTTTTAGTAGAGAGGGGGTTTCACCGTGTTAGCCAGGATGGTCTCGATCTCCTGACCTCATGACCCACCCGCCTCGGCCTCCCAAAGTGCTGGGATTACAGGCGTGAGCCACCGCGCCTGGCCTAATTTTTGTATTTTTATAGAGATGGGGTTTCACCATATTGGCTGGGCTGGTCTCGAACTCCTGACCTCAAGTGATCCATCTGCCTCAGCCTCCCACAGTTCTAGGATTACAGGTATAAGCCACAGTGCCCAACCCTCCAATTTCTTGAGTATCATTCCAGCCCTCAGGTCTTGGGGCTCTGTCTATAATTAGTTATGTTCATACTTGTGTTCTGCTGTTTGCCTCTTTTTGGTAGATGTGTGTCCTGTTATCCCAACTTAAATTGGAAAGCCCATAGAGGCAGAGAGCAAGTCACCTTCGGCATCTCTTTCCAGCACTTAGTACTGTAGAGAGTTGAATTCAGTTGTGTCGTAGATGTCTAGGGAAAAGAACAGCATTAAAAACCTCTGTGGAAGAGAATGTGGATATGGGAAGAGAAAGGGGAGTCTTAAGGCCCTGTGATTCCTTATAGCATGGCTAAAGGATGGCAACTTTCCATGTGTTTCATAGAAAGTCTCAAATACAGGAACATTTAGGCACTGGGGAGCCACACATTTATTTAGATGAATCCAAACCAGACATGGTGCCGAAGCTCCTTGACACAATCTCACCACTGGCGGGCTTCCTGGAGGCACTGAAAAGAGATAGCACTTTGTAGCCGTGACAGCAAATGGCCAGAGGACACCAGGCTGCTGAGGGCACCATTCTCACGGACCCTGGCTCCTGTGCCATGAATTCACTCCATTGCCGGGCACTGGCTGTGAGAGAGGGAAAGGGGTAACTAACACGAATGCAAGTATCATTAACACAGAGAGGGAGGGGAGAGAGGGAGAGCTGTCTCTGCAAGCCGACTGTCGGAGAGCGCTTTCCTGAGAAGCCTGTACTTGTAATGCATCCCTTTGGGCTTTCATTTGCTACATACCAGTGAGAGCCTTAAATAAATGTCTTATGGGATCAAATTCATTTCCAATTTCCATCAGCCAGCAGCTACAAGTCAGAGAGGACACTGGGAACTTGTTCTCTTTAGTTCTGTCTCAAGCTTCTTTTTCACCTTATGCATCAATTTGTACATAGCATACCTACTGTGAATGACAGAAAATCTAAAGGAGCTGTCAAGTTCTAAATGATGAGCTGAGTTGCCTTTTGCCAATAATGTGCTGCTTGGGACCACACACCTAAAGGTTAAATTATAATTGACATAAATGAGAAGGAGGATTTTCTTCTCTTGGAAGGGAAGGAATCTATAAGCTTCAAAGTAAAAAAACAAACAAACATATTAATCCGTTTTTTACCATGCTTATGATCCTGAGGTGTTTACTCAGTCAGCAGGAGCAGCCTCCCCTGTCCTTATGTACCCCACAGGCATAAGGTGCTGTGACGCTCGTGGGTTCCTGCACTCCGAATTGTTCCCTTGACATCTTTTCCTACAATACCTGCCCAGCTCCCTCCCCTAGAACCTCCTTATGATTAGGTGGATGCTGTCACTCTTCTTCAGAGGACCATTAGGTTTAATTTCTACCATCAACTTGAGAAGTTCAGATGGAGAGAGGATATGACAAAAGCAGACTGCATCTAGTATACATTCTCTCCACAGGGATGACAGTATTCGCTTTTAAAAACAGGCCGAGCACGGTGGCTCATGTCTGTAATCTCAGCACTTTGGGAGGCCAAGGCGGGCAGATCATGGTCAGGAGATTGAGACCATCCTGGCTAACATGGTGAAATCCCGTCTCTACTAAAAAAAAAAAAATAGCTGGGTGTGGTGGCAGGCACCTGTAGTCCCAGCTACTCAGGAGACTGAAGCACAAGAATCGTTTGAACCCAGGAGGCAGAGGTTGCAGTGAGCCGAGATGGCCCCACTGCACTCCAGCCTGGGCAACAGAGCAAGACCTCATCTCAAAAAAAAAAAAAAAAAAAAAAAATGGTTACAACAAAAGTGGTCACTAGTGGATACATGACTGGAAGGCTCAGGAATGCACCTCTGTCCCTGACTCAACAACACTAGCCATAAACAGGAACTAATCCACTGACACATCTTGCCTCTCTTTACTTACCTTTGTCAGAGTACCACGTCTTCTTAGGTGTCCTCAATTAGGAACTGCAATAATTCGGACATTTATCAGTGTTAACATCTCAGAAATCTCTGAGAAACCTTCTTTCAGAGCATTAGCATTAGAAATAGAAATATTCTATTTCAGGTTTTTGGGGAGTCGATGGTGCTAATTAGGTAGTCTATACATAGAGAAGAACAGGACATGTAAGGGCTCATTCATTCTCGATTCATGCAACAAACAGAGTGCCTACTGTGTGTCAGAAACTGGGCTAGACACTGTGGGGACAAACGCAAATAAGACACTGTCCCTGCCCTCAAAATGCTTATAATTTAATAGGAAAACATCTATAAATAGAAAATTATAAAACAGTATGTTAAACACAATGATAGAGATCTGAACAAGGTGACAGGTATAGATAAGTGATTAAATACTTTAAGGAAGTAGAGAGGAGATGCAATATTACCTGTAAACAAACAAGAGGGGAAAGTGAAATAAAGCCCGACAAACAGCTGCAGCTTTCCTAGGCTGAGTCAGAAGATCGCACAGCATAAAGAAAAATGAGCTGAGTGAGGACCGGGAGACCTGGGCTCTTTCCACCAGTGCCAGGTGGTCAATCAACTGACACTGGAAATCATGGGCAAACCAGTTCCCCCCCTGTACTTTCGTCTTCTCTTTTGCAAAATGGAAATAACAATTCTTCCTGTATTATTGAATTGCGATGGGGAGAAATGAGATTGTAGATAATTAAAATGTCTCCTCCAAGACATCCTGATGATGACAGTGATGAGAGGGTCCAACCGAGGAGCCCCTTCTCCACCTAGGCTTGCGACTCTGGCCCCTGACTTTTCCACCGGTGGAGAGAGGAGGTGGCTGGCAACCTAAGGCACTAGTTCTCCTCTTGCCCTTACCTTTCACATCCACCCGACAGTCCACAGATGCCTCCCCTAGGGGGTTCACCGCCTTGCAGGTATAGATGCCTCCATCAAAGGGACCAGGCTTGCGGATCTCTAGGGAGCAGATTCCCAGGTGAGTCAGGGCTCTGTACTTAGGGTTGCCTTGGATATCCATCTTGTTCTTCAGCCAGATGATCTTGGGCTGAAAGACAAAGATGAGGGAGGCAGCAAGGAGGGGCAGGGGTAAGAACCAATAGTCTTTCTGTGCTCAGTTTCTGGGACTCTGTCTACATAGAGATAATGGCTTTCTGGAAGGCTCCCTGTTCCTTATTGTGGGAAGGGGTTCCCCTTCCAGTACCTTCAGTAGTCGCCCAAGCTCCTTCTCTTGGTTGAAAATAGCGCCTGAAGCTTCACTTTCTTCGCCAATATTTCTGACTGGAAGAAAACTGCTAACTTCTATACCGTGCTCTCAGGATCAGAAGCACTGAGCATCAGGCTCACCTGTTGTGAACCATTCATATTCTGTTCCCACTGCTGACTTTTGAGTTGCCTCTGTTCCCTCTGGTTAGAGAGTAGCTTCTAGAGTGGGCTCTTGATATCCCCCTTCCGAGATGTTATCTCCATGTAGTCTGGCCCAGACTCGAAACCCAAAAGGTTCTTGGTACAGGTTATTAATGGTGTTTTATGCTGTGTGCGGAGCACGATGACTAGATTGTAAATAGAGAGCCTTGTTCAGGAATATGGCCAAAGGCTGAACTCTAGGCAGCTTGCATGTGCACGGCCCTGATGGGATGAGGTACGGATGGGAAGGAGAAACCACCAGGACTCCGTCACTCCTACCAGAGACACAACTTGAAGCACATGCCTAATTGCCAGCAGGTCAGTAAGCAACATTTTCATATATGAGAAACAAACATTCAAAAGGAAATGTCATTCTCATTAGTCTGTCTTGGACTCCAAGCACCCCTACTGTTCCTAAATACCGCGCTGTTGAAGAGGCAAATGGCGGTGATGGTAACAGATGTTATGTTACAATGCTCTGCAACTCAGCTTACGTTAGGAGAGGCAGGAACAGAAAGCAGCTCAGCACAGCACCCCCTAGAGCCCCCACTCACCCGGGGAGAGGCACGGACACAGCAGAAGAGCTGGGTGTTATAGCCGGTGACTGTAGTGCAGTCGGCCAGAGGCTGGGTAAACTTTGGGGCTTCAGATAAATCTCGTTGGGCAAATCCCTTGATCTTGTAAACAGTAGCTGAGGGCACCAAGAGGGGCTGGGATGTAGCTTCTGAGACCCCAGCCCTCATCGACTCGTTATCCTTAGCCTTTTCTTTCTTTCTTTGTTTTTCTTTTAGATGGAGTTTCATTCTGTTGCCCAGGCTGGAGTGCAGCGGCTCTATCTCAGCTCACTGTAACCTCCACCTCCCGAATTCAAGCAATTCTCCTGCCTCAGCCTCCTGAGTAGCTGGGATTACAGGAGTGCGCCACCATGCCTTGCTAATTTTTGTATTTTTAGTAGAGACGAGGTTTCACCATGTTGGCCAGGATGGTCTCGAACTCCTGACCTCAAGTGATCTGCCTACCTTGGCCTCCCAAAGTGCTGGAATTACAGGCGTGAGCCACTGCACCCGGCCTATCCTTAAGTCTTCCCAGCTCATGGTCCCCGTGCCTCCCTTACCTGCTTTCTGGATGTGGGCGAGGTCCGTGGTGATGGGGGCTGTTTCACTGAGTCCGCATTGGTTTTCAGCAAAGACACGGAAGGCATAGGAGTTGCCGATGATGAGATCGGAGACGATGCAGCTGGTGCGGTGATAGTGCTCCAGCACTGTGAACCACAGCTGCGGGGCCGAACATGATGCCAGAAATCAGCCACTCCATGTGGAACTACCAGAGGCCTGTCCCAGCGTGCCCTCTTCCACCCTCCTTCCTCCCCAGCTGGCCTCACCCCAGATTTTGTGTCAGCCTTCTGCACCGTGTATCCCAGGAGTGCTGTATTCCCCGTATCTTGGGGAGGTGTCCATTCCAGGGTCGCGTTGAAGCCCCAGACGTCCACTAGCTTAATACTCTGAGGAGGGCCTGGCCTCTCTGAAAGGGCAAAGCCATGGCAGTGGGCGTGGCACAGCCCACATGCATTGAAGTCACTTCAGGAGTGCCCCAGCCCCTTTTCCTGCTCAGCTACCCTTCCTGTGCCCACCCTGTGTCCCAGACATGACGTGGGGGCCTTGCCCCAGCTTCCTCAGCTCTCTGCGCTGGCTCCTGTTCAGCCTGGAGAGGGAGTTCCTGAGGAACCCCCATCTCCCACTCCCCGTTCCCCCCGCCGTACCAATCACCAGGATGTCAATGGTGGCAGTGGCCTCCAGCCCGCCCAGCTGCACACGGAGTTGGTAGCGACCTGAGTCAGCACGTTGGGCTTCTCGGATGAAGAGGATGGAGTCTCGCTCCCCATTCCGCACACTCACACGGCTGGTGTCCAAGGCACAGCCATCGTGTGTCCAGATGGCTTGAGGTTTGGGCTTGCCCTGAGGAATGAGGGTAATGCTTTGAGCAGCCCTGAGAGGCTTCCTGACTCTCCCTGCTGCTGTAGGGGTCCCGTCCGCCCCAGGTCCACAGGGAGGCTTGACTTGGAGCTGCATATGCCTTGAGTTAGAAGTTGGTCGACCCTCCCGGGGGCCTCCTCCTTTCAGCAACAACCTAAGGATCTTGGGAAAGGGGGATGGCTTTGAGTCTCCCAACCTCTGAGAGCTTAGGTCATGAACACCCGGGGCAGCTGTGACCCAACTGAATAGCCACTCAAACTGCCAAGAACCCTTCTAACTGCAAGCTCCGCAGCCTCTGCAGACTGAATGGTATGGATTAGCCTCACACCATCTCATGGGTGCACATCCAGTCCTATCCAAACCCACCCTCAGGAGTGCAGAGGTCTTTTGGCCTCAGACTTCTGGTGATGTGACCCCTTCTATCCAAGGCCGGGAAGATTGCCCCTCTGCTAGCAGGACTCTTGGCATCTGTTTCCAAATCGGAAGCCTGGGCTGGCCCCAGACATGGACCCAGTATGGTTCTCGCGTGATCACCTGGAATGGGATTAGTAGGTTCACTGTGTCCCCAACCTTCCGGATGTAGGTCTGCCTCAGGGCCCGAGGTAGCCAGATCTTGGGGTGCTCTGAGTGATGGAAAGAGAGAAAATAGGAGATGGATACTCAGAGAAAGTAAATCCTGCCTCCAGCTGCCTGCTGTGGGTGGGTGGCCCAGGAATCAGTCACCAAATTAAGCCTTTCTTAGAGGGAAGGGGAAGAGTGCTCCTATCATCCTGCTGGGATTTGGGGATGAGGGGTTGGCTTAAGGAACACCCTGGGAATGTTAAAGTCTCAGCAGAAAGAACACTGGAGCGCGAGTCTGACAGTTCTCTTAATTTGTAACTCTCAAATGCTGACTTTCCATCATCTCGAGGCATTCCATCCTGATGGAGGCATTTTTATTTTTCTGTTTATGTACAGACCAGCCTAGTCTGTGTGGTTTGTCTTTCCACCCTTTTCTACATTTGTCCTTAATACCATTCCTTTTATCAAGGCCACTTTCCATGTCAACCCTGACCTCCCAGTTAAGTCTGAGTCTGAGGAGAATGCTCTCCATTCTGCAGGCAGAGTCAACACCCTGGCCTCCCCAGCCGCCCACGGAGACAGCACTGATGTCACTGCAGAGGGAGCGCATGTCTGGGTCCTTTCCTCTGCATGGCCACTCTGCTCCCGGGCTTCTTCCAGTTTGCTGAGGATCATTTTGTACAGATTCTGGGACAGATGCGGTCCACCGCTCATTTCCCCTTGATCTCCCCGGCCTGCCCCAGTGAGAAGTGGAGATTAGATGGTGTGTTTGAGCTTCCAGGATGAAGACAGGAGAGGCCTGGAAAAGTGCTGAGTGTAGGTTTGGGGAATGACCAGGTGTCATTTCTCTCCTCCTGGGATGCCTCACACTGTCTCGGCTGGGCTCTGGTGAGCTGTCTCTACCTGGGCTCCCTCGGGGGCCTGGCTGAGACGGACACCATTTTCTGGCCTTTTCCTGGCTGCTGTCTCTTCCTTTCTCAGGCACAGGCGTTCGCCTGGCTGATGTTATCTTCAGTAGAATGTGATAGTGCTTCAGTTCCCAACAACCCAGGATTCCTGCCGCAGTTCATTCTTGGCAGTTGGAAGAACTTCACCCCTGGTACATTCCTGTGGCAAACAGCATGACTGCTTGATAGTGGATTCCAGACTCTTTGCTAACGCACACTTCTGTGAAAATACTTCCCTGAGCATTCACTATGACATATGTCTGTTTACTTATAGATGAACTGTTGAAATATGTACATTACATAACACAAACATGTAAGTGACGCAACTGAAACAGAGCTTCTACTGTGTCCTTCCTCCAGCTCAATCGGCGAGCACTGTCCAGAGAACTTGACTCCCGGAGTCTCCCCATGATAATCTCAAGGTCGCGAGACCTTTGCAAATGAAGATCAATAGCAATGTACAGTGCACACAGTCCGTTTGATTTCTGCAGTTTCCTTTTGTGCTGTGTGGCTTATGTTTTCACCCGGGCTGTGCCTGTCTTAGACTGCACCTCAGGAATACATGATGAGGGGACTTGATGGGTCTGCGTGCCCGTCCTCCCTGCCCTGCGCAGGGCTTGACGGCCTCAGCACAGATGCAGCAGTCCCAGGCGGCTGAGCGACCCTGCTGTGGCTGCCCTCGGCTGGGCTCTGGTGGCTTGGGAGGGGCGGGGCATGAAGAACAGAAGAAGCGTTTGTGTGATGGGCTCCTCTCCTGTGGCCATCTTGGCAAGCAACCAAGGAGTTGAAAACGGGTGGATATGACTTAAGGGTGTTTTGAAAAAGAGGGCTGTACTTGGAAAGGAGGGTCAAAACCTCATCTTGTTGGGCTCGGTTTCCCACTGTTGGGGGAGGAAATAACCCTTCTTACATTTGCTGGAGAGAAGGTGGCTCCGCTGTCCCTGTGCTGCCTCCCTATAGAATGTCGGCGTTGGGAAGGGGCTGTAAGCACCAGAACAAGGAAGCTGGGAGGAAGAGGGCTCCGAGAAAAAAGCCGGTATTCTGGAGACCTCCCGGCTAGCGGTGACGATGTGCCTGGCAACTGAGACTCCTGCCTCCCCATCTAAGATTGTGTGTCTGCAGGACCCATTCTCAGAGCACTAACTGTGTCCTGCCCGCCAGTGTCCCCCCGGCACTGAGCACCAGTCAGGGCTCAGAGAGTGGCCTGCCCCTGGAGGGAGGAGGCCCAGAGGGAAAGCAGGAGCTAGACACACCCAAGAACTGCAAAGGGTTGAGGTGGGGAGAGGAACCCAGGTCTTCACGCCTGGCAGAAGTGCCCGCTGCGGCCCGCCCTGCCGAGACCTCAGGTAGGGAATGGGCTGTCATGGGTGGCTGTGAGCTGATGTATGTGTTTCCACCTAATGTTTCTTAGAAAAACACCTTGGAAAATATTAGCGTTCTTACATCTGAACCAAAGAGAAAAATGAAAGAAACAGGTTTATGTGGAACATAAGCTAAGGTGGGGGAGTTAGGGGAAGAGGAGCAGACTGGCCCTTGAGATCTAGAGAGGATCCCAGCTGGGCAGAGAGAGCAAGGAAGGAGGCTGCCCGCGAGGACGGTGGTCTCTCCCGTCCTGGACGGCTCCGTTGCCGGTTCTCTGCTTATCAGTGGGTTTCCTGACAATGGACTCTGAGGATGAGCAGGTGAGGCCTCTGCTCACAGCAGGCTCCTGGCTCCCTGTGGGAGGGCAGAGGAGGGGCGTGAGGCTCACACAGCTGACTATGTGCAGAGGTGGCAGGAGACAGTGTGACAGCTTCAGACGCCCGGTCAACAGGTCAGCAGCATGCGCTCCAATCGCCTCCCAACCCAACCTGGGTGCAATCTGACTCTTTGCTAAGAATGTGAATGCCGGGCTCATTTGAGGCATCTCTTTTCACACATCTGCAGTCAAGCGAGGTGTAAATTGTACTGACCTTGGGGAGGCATGGCTTTCCCTGATGCCCAAGGTCTTTCTCCTCCTCAGATGCCAGGAGGGATGTGAACCAAAGCCTAGAGCCTTTAAGAGCCTAGGTTTTCTAAGAGCAGGTCTGTGGGAGTCACAGTTTGGTTTTCTCCCTTCATAGGGTCTTAGAGAAAAGGCATCTTGAAAAGTCCTTTAAGGGCCTTTGGTTCTGAGCTGGGCTGCTCTCAGTCCGACATTTCTCTCAGACAGAATGCTGTCTAATTCTTTCTCAAAGATTCTTAGAGAAGACTACTTTAGTCCGGGCACAGTGGCTCACACCTGTAATCCCAGCACTTTGGGAGGCTGAGGAAGGTGGATCACCTGAGGTCAGAAGTTCAAGACTAGCCTGGTCAACATGGTGAAACCCCGTCTGTCCTAAATATACAAAAATTAGCTGGGCGTGGTGGCAGGTGCCTGTAATCCCAGCTACTTGGGAGACTGAGGCAGGAGAATCACTTGAACCCGGGAGGCAGAGGTTGCAGTGAGCCGAGGTCACACCATTGCGCTCCAGCCTGGGCAACAAGAGCAAAACTTCATCTCAAAAAGAAAAAAAAAAAGAAAAGAAAAGAGAAAACTACTTCAAGTCCAAAGATCTTGAGTTCTGATTAGAAAATTCCTCCTAATGCCTACCCTACTTTTATCCTGCTAAAGTTTATGCCTGGTTTACTATTCTATAATTGTTCCTATCCTCTCATAATTCCCTTTTATGGGATCAGTCTTTCTCCAGCGGCTCCCTAGGGGCTGTATAGTTCAGACCAATGTTACTAACTATGACCTAGAGAGACAAGAATCAAGATGGAAGCACTGGAGAAGTGGAGAGGGTGTGTGTGTGTGTGTGTTTGTATGAGGGTGTATGTATGTGTGTGTGAATGCGTGTGCGTGAATGTGTGTGTGTACGTGCACGAATGTATGGGTGTGTTTACGTGTGTGTGTGTGAATGGTGTGTGTGTGTACGTGTGTGTATGAGAGTGTGTGTGTGAGAGAGCCTGCATACACACGTGCCTATGTGGGTGAAGGGTCACCAAAAGAGGGGGAATGCAGGAGGCTAGCTACGGCTTTGAAACTATCCAGAGGTTTCCAGAAATCCAAGAAGTACCAGGATTTCTTAGAGAAACATTACCAGATGCCTAGGATGTGGCCTTGGTCTACTCAGAAACCTGTCTCGAGGAGTGCAATGGGAAAGGAGTGGGGCAAGAGTGTCACTTTCTTGAAGACCATGAAACTAAGGTCAGAAAAAATAAAAGGACATAGGAACAGGCAACACTTCTTTGAGGAAAAGACTCCACCCCACCCCGTCCCAGTGTTACAGTCGTCCCCCTAGTGCTTGATGGTTTTAGCCCTGGCTCACTGTCTCTCCAACACTGCTCCAGGCATAATTCCTGCTGGTCCCAACACCCATGTTTCCAGTCCCTGTAGGGTCTCTCACATCCAGCCCACCACTCCTCCAATAACTTTGTCCTCTCCTAATTCAGCCACTGGTCCCTGTGGCTATTTCTAGACCAACAGCTACAATCCTTCTATGATCAGAATTACAAGCATCCCACTGTCTCATCACCAGAGATGGCTGTCTAACAAAATGTATGTTACCCCTTCTGTAGTGTAGCTATCTCTGAGAAGTGGCTACCCGGCCACCTTTTGCTGGACGGCCATGAGACTAGTTCTTGCCAATGAGACCTAAGTGGCAATGGTGAGAATCACTTCTGGTCCCAGGCTTTGAAGAAGTTAGATTTCTATTTTCTCCTTCTGCTAGCTGTACGCAAATGATCACGGGGCCCTAAGGAATGGCAGAGCCCCAAGATGAAAGAGGCCTGGGTCCCTGAATTACCACATGGAGGAGAACTATCTGCAGAATACAGTTGTTTTCAGTTCTTACGCTAGTGAGAAAGAGATGTCTGTCATTCCTGAGACCAATTTGTTTCATTCACTAGTATACCTAACTAATATAATCTTTATCCCTTTAGCTCACTTCCTCTAATGCTCCAACACCAGCAATTCTTTGGCACCACTGAGATCTGTGATCCATTGTCCTACCACCCTCTCACTACCTAGCACCCCTTTCATGTCAGCACTTTCTTCACTGCCCAACTTAGATTACATGGTCATTATTATACTCTCTCTCTTGCACTCACTTAAATCCCTGAGTCCTCTTTGACTTCATTGCACTCTCCTGGCAATACCTAACCCTGGTTAAATAAACTTCCCACCCACTCAGTGCCTGTATCTGCACAGAGTAACAGGACTAGGGGAAAATACAAAATTATGTGGAGTTTAACTTGAGGGCCATTAATAGTGACCACCACCTCCAAGTGGACCCTGGCAATTCTACTAGACTTCCCAAGTTCACTCGGTCTCCCATTCTCCTGGATGACTATTGCACACCTTCCCCTTCTAAAACCTCCCTACCTTCTCCCTCATTCTCATTCCCAGTTGTTGATCTTGCTAGTGTCCAAGGCCCACCTACAGTCTATTCTTAACATGGCCAGCTGGAAAAATCCTTAAAATCTACAGTTGGTCCTGTCAGTCCTTACTCCCAGTCCCTGCACTGGCTGTCTCTCTGTCTCGTAGACAAACCAAAGTCTTCACAGCGACCCTGCTACCTCTCAGACTGAAATACTGCCACTGTCTCCCTCTCTGTGCTACAGCCACAATTGCCCCAACCCATAAAGCACACTCCTGCCTCAGGGCCTTTGCAGTTGTTCTCTCTGCGTGGAAAATATTCCCCCAAATATCTGCATGCATTGCTTTCTCACATCCTTTAAGTGGCTGCTCAAATGTCACCTTATTAGTGAGGCCCTCACTGAATATTCCATTTGAAGCAGGAAGCCTGCATGCTTCCTACCCGCAGCACGTGTTATCCCCGTCCCTGCATTAGTTTTGGCATAGCATTTCTCACCACCTGACATATTAGATATTTTACTTGTTTATTTATTATCTAGCTCCCTCTGTGAGAATATAACTTCCATAAGGGCAGTTATTTTACCTATTTTGTTCATTTCTGTAATTCTGGCACCTACCCGGCCACCTTTTGCTGGATGGCCATGAGACTAGTTCTTGCCAATGAGACCTAAGTGGCAATGGTGAGAATCGCTTCTGGTCCCAGGCTTTGAAGAAGTTAGATTTCTATTTTCTGGCACCTATGATGAGCACCTGGCACATCATAGGCACAACCTAAATATTTGTGGAAGGAAGGAGGAGGAAAGGAATGATGGAAGGAAGGGCGGGAAGAAAGGTCACTCCTAGGCATGAGATTCAGTTTCCCATGTCTGGAAGACACAGAACAGTTCAGACTGAAAGAGCACACACAGTCAGTTGGAGCGATGTTGCTGAAGTCAGCAGATGGGCTCTCCCTCCTCCACCTCAGCGTCTCACCTTCTCTATGGGAGGGATGCAGCTTGTTACCCAGCCTCTCCCTGTTTTGGAAGCTCTCCTCTCGCCCCTGCCAAGCTTTGTCTCCAGGACACAGTGCTCAGTGTAGTGCTGAGGACAGACATAGAACTGTTTACCAATGCCGGCCACCTACTCCTGCTTATTTAGCCACGTAGCAGGCTTGCCAAACTAAAAGCTCATTGTTGGCCATTTGCAGTTGGTTTTGATCTTGCAAATTAATTTCTATTTCTGATGCTTGCTCTAGTTCCCATGTTTTCACATGCTTACTGTGATACTCAGTCCCAGAGCTCTCTGTAAGGAAGAGGAGTTAGGAGGAAGAAAGGCTTTGGAGCTCTCAGGTGGCTTAGGGGTCATCTAGTCCAGGCCCATGGCACCCTGAAGGATCTTTAGTGGGGGTTTGTGTGTTTTTTTGTGTATTTTTCCTGGGGCAAGAGTCCACAGCTGTCATTAGATTTTCCTAGGGGTCCATATCCACCAAAAGGTTAAGACCCTGATTTAGTTCAACTCCTCAATTTACAGATGAGAAAATGGGAGTGGATTGACTTGCCTCGGGCCACAGAACAGAGCCAAGATTTGAACTCTTGGAACTTCTTTGTTCCAAGTAGTTAACAGATGCACATATATTTTGGAAAGTATTCAAAGGTATTCTTATTGCCAGTGACTTCTAGGGTACCACTGGGTTGAGCCACTGGGTGCTAGTGGCCCTGAGGCCTGCAGTGTACAGAGCTGCCGCAAACAAGAGGGTTTGGGCTGCATTTGCGGGCCCGTGACTGGGGGCTGTCAGGAGCTGGCTGCAGCCAGAGGGGAGAAGCATGGGGGAGATGAGCGCCCTCCCTTGGGGTTTTGGGGAGACCAGTAGAGACAGCCAAGTCGTCAGCAGTCTCAGCTCTCATTCTCCTGCTGCCTGTCACTTATTCTCTGGGCCTTTTAAGGGAAGAAACTGGTTTTCTGCCTCAATCACCCCAGCTTAATATATTAACACTAACTTCTGCTCCCATCTTCAATGGGACAAACTTGGCCAGCTCTCTACCCTTGACATTCAAACAGTTTCTGGAAACCTGGCCTCTCCCATGAGGATAAGAAGCAGAGAGTATCTGCTGCACAACCCTATGGAGGCAGAACGCAGCCTTCACCTCTCACTTGGAAATATTTGATCATTTATTTACGTCTAGTTTGACCTCTTCCAAGGCACTCTGGATCATCTCAGCAATCCTTTCAACTACCCTGATAGGTAGATGTTACGAATCACCATTTTACAGAGCGAAAATGGAAACTAAGCCGTTCAGTGACTTGTCCAAGGTCACAGGGCTATTAGAGGCAGCACTAGGAATTGAGCCTACAGCTTTGCCTCCAAGTCTAGTACATCTTTTCCCCTGCCTCTTCCTGCCCTGGGAGTCCACGTGTTTCTTGTTTGTGGTCTTTTCATCCTCTTCACTCAAGAATTCCAGGTGAGCGCCACGAAGTGGTTAGCTACAGAGGCCTCAGTCAGGGCATTCGGGGATGGGTGGCAGGAAGCTGGGGGTTGGAATTCGTGCCAACCACCTCCTCACTTGGGAACGCCTCTTTGCTGAGAGGCGCACAGAGACCATCGTGAAGGGGAAATCGAATGCTTCTCCCAGACGAGCTCCACCTCTGTGGAGCTCAGACTCTGAGGGGTCAGGATCTCCCATGGGAGCATCTGGAGGTTGGAGGAGGTCCTGACCCCGTGGCACTGCCCAGCAGAAGGCTGAGTGTCACTGTGCTGCCCCACTCTTAGCCTCCCCATTGCCATAGCTTTTGATTTCCCTGTTCCTTCTGCAGACAGCCACTCTCTCTCACCCCTCAGTCCCTTCCTGACTGGCCATTAGTATATCAGGTCCTCCCGTCCTTATGACAATTTTTTAAAAGGTAAAAATATAAACAGATCATTTTTAGTCACTGTAAAGTGCCACCAACATCATCACTGACTTCTCAGCTAAAACACAAAAACTTAGCAGAGACATTTGAGCAGCAAGTCAGACTCCATCAAGGACAGGGGCTGGGGGCTCCCACGAATGATCTCCAGCCTAAGCACCAATCCTATAAAGTCTTTAGCTCAGCAAAAAACCTGAGGTGCCGCCAGGAAAGTGGCAATGTCCTCCCCAACTCCCACCACCCGGCCTCGCCAGCCTCCCCACCCGCCATGGGTCACCTTCTATAGGGGGCAGGAGCTGGGGAGTGGGGCTGCCAGCCCCCTGTCCAGGTGAAGCCTGGGGTGGTTCAGCATCTGCTGGGCTGACTTCTTTCACCTTCAGCTTGGATCCTACGGCCACCTCCGGAGCTGTGGCTGCCTCCATGCTGGGCCTTCCCAGAGGCTGGGCTCCAGCTCTAGATTTTCACTGCTGGTGATGAGGGAGGGGCGGAGCACCTGCTCCCAGGCTGGCCTCCCGGGTCCCAGCCACAGGGTTATGTAACTGGGCTGGCCTTCCCCACTCAGCTACGCCCTGCAGAAGGGCTGAAGTAGGGGTTGGGGGAGAGAGGAGGATCAAAGAGCAGCCAAGAATAGCCCCAGGAGGAGGACTGAGGTGGCCCGGTTATCTCGAGAGAGAGATGACACCCCCCACAGCACCGGGGGGGAGGGAGAGCTTGAACACAGACCATCCACAAGGGACCTCTGATTTCTGTCGGGAGGGTTGAGTGACATCTCTGCTCCTGACCTCCAGTTCATCCCGCAGGGCATTCAGGTCCCAAAGAAGGGGCCCAGGATCAGCTGACTCACAGCAATACCTGAACTGCTCTTTCTCCCTCTGCTCCCACATTCAATGAGTTGTAAAGTCTTATCAACTCGACCTTTACAGGGCCTGTCCCATTCTCCCCCGCTCCCCAGAGGGCAGCGGGCACAGTGCAGTGGTAGGTGGAGACTGCACTCACACTGGCTGCCCGGGCACCACTTGGGGCTCTGTCACCAACTAGCTGTGTGACTCACAACACATCACAGTCTCTCTTCAGTCTGTTTCCTCATCTGTAAAATGGAGATAATTATAACCGTAGGGTCGTTGTGAGGATTAAAGAGGTAATCTCTGTAAAGTGCTTAGCAGAGTGTACCCGACTAAGTGCTTGATAAATGTAAGCTATTTTTAGGTCAGGCCAGCACTTCCCCCTTTGAGAGCTGTCAATGGCTGCCTTGCCTATGAGATGAAGTACAAATAAAGGGAGAGGCAGCAGTGGTAGAGGGAGGCGAGCTCAGAGGACCTGCGTGTGACTTCTGGCTGTACCACTCACTCACCAGCTGGGACTCTGGGCAAATCACCAACTTGGAGTCTCAGGTCCCAGCCTGTGAAACAAGGGATGATGCCATGATTGTGTTGAGGATAAAATGATACAATCTATAGGAAAGTGGCCAGCTCACAGCAGGTACTAGTCACATTAGTAGGATTTCCAGACTTAGCAAACCATCTTTCTATACGTGTTGTACATGCCATGGCCACTGCCGCTTTCCTGTCATACTCCCACCTTCTTATCTCCAGAAGCCAGCATCCCTCTGCATTTTAAAATGCCTTAATTTTAGAGCAGTTTTAAAGTCACAGCAAAGTTGAGTGGAAAGTACAGGGTTCCCGCAGCCCCTACTTGCCCCTGTTATTTTTTTCATGAAAAAAAAAAAAATGGGTGCAGTTGAATGAATGGACTGACTTCTTACTCATTTTGCCCTCAATTTTGGGGTAAATGGTAAGATCCCAGGAGCCTGTGTTATCTTGGGGTGACAGCAGCTCACCCTCTTTGTAACTGGTATAGGGGCTGAGGTCCAGGACAATCTGTTTATTGGGGCCTTGGATGGCCTATGGGGCTGGTTTGGTTGGCAGAAGACTGGGTTTTTGCCATATCAGAACTAGTTTGAAGGTCTTCCTGAACTATTTTTCTTGCCTGACCCAGCCAAGGCCCCGTTAAGTGTGGACAGTCCCCTAGCCAGGAGACCCCAAATACACCCCCTTTTACGCAACACGTAACCCATCTTTTGGTGAGGAAATTGGCCCAGGCTGAATCTTAGCCCTTTGTTGGAACGAAGGTGTAAATAATCAACTTTAAGATGCAGGTTCCTAAACTTTGCCCATCAGAAAGTCTAATTCAATAGGTCTGGGGTGGTATCCAGAAATCTGCACCTAAAAAAACCAACCTAGTGATTCCGGCACAGGAAATCTTAGAATACCATATTAGATAGAATTCCTTCAAATAAAACGACCTTAGATAATGTCCTGGTATAGAAACTCTCCCATCAGATGGTGGCCTCAGAAACAAGGGCTTTGCCCTGTCATCTTCAGACCAAGATGCTGGAGTATTACATGGAATATTGCCCCAGGCTAGCAGGGTAGGATGGCTAATGGTTCCAAACGGGTGGGCAGGAACCTCTCTTAAACGCTTTGCAAGGTCCTTAAATGAAATTGACAAGAAAGGGCCAGTACGAACAGCAAGAGAAATGTAAGAGGGGCAGATGGGAAGTTACAAAGCTGAACTTCTCAGTGCCACCAGGTGTCAAACCTGCTGAAAATAACACAGAATTCAAGGAGTAATTATCTGTTGCTGTGTCCAGAAGGAAGAGTGTAGCAACTGAAACCTGTGAAGGTATGTGGGGTGGGTGCCTAGACTTTCTAGGCACTGGTCGTACACACACCCACAGGAGGAAGATCTGTATGAGCACAAAGAGCAAGAAAATGAGGTAATTTACGGCTCACATTTTGTGAGTCGTTTTCCTCATAGATGACCGAATACATTTCATGCTATAAATGTACAGTCCTGGCTCTTTAACTGGCCTGTTCTCTGATTGCTAGAGTCTGATTCTGAAGCTAGAAAACTGGAAAATGTATCATATTAACAAACTGTAACTTAGTCATTTCAGTAGGTTAGGTAACAAAGTCCAGTCTGTTTTATTTTTAACCCAAATATTCCAAATATACAGAAAATTACCAGTACAAAGTTAAACACATTCAGATTTATTTACACAATGCTAAAGAAATTTGAGTTTTATTTCCATTTTGTGGAATTTTATTATGGGGCCTGGCTTTAATGTGTAAGTGATGTGGGTCACTGAAACTCGATTATCCCACCTCACATGCAATTTTCTGTCCCAAGGGAATAGAAAACTTGGGTTTTTAGGGCACATGCAGTAATGATCTTAATACTGCTTTACACTTTCGTAGGAAGGCAGCTGTCCCACAGCTTGGGGAAGGACCACATGCTCAGAAAGGGAACAAGAGAGAGGGTTGAACAACAGGCACATGGGGACCCTGAGCATTTCTGTGCACAAGGAAAAGGAGAATATAACCAAAACCTCCTCCCTAGAGGTCCAAACACAGGAGGTGGGCCAAATCATCAGGGAACAGTCAGTCACCCACTTGTGGCTGAGGGCATGCGGAGGATGAGAACTACATTAAGGATCTGGGGCATAGCAATAAATCATTACCATGTACACTATACAGTTTATATATGTATATATGTACACACACATATATATAAAGGTACAGATTAGTTCGTTATTCCTTATAAACAAGTACACTTAAGAATGTACTGGTGTGAAGAAATGCATACTGCAAGTTGTTTCGAATTAATTTTCTGACTCTTGTTATTGTAATGCAACCTAACCAAGAAATCAACATGCTCCTGCTATTTCAATGATGCTTCATGAGGGGAAGGCCTGGGCTCTGCTAGGGCAGGATGGTGCTCCTAGAGCTACCTGAGCTGGACAAACCCGTGGCAGATGGAACAGAAAGTCTGGCACCTGCTGACTCTGGCCCTCCCTGTCACTTCATCACACAGCAAATCTTAAAACTTTGGTTTTTTTCAAAGGACATTTAAGTCCATGTTCATTTTCCTGCTTCAGGGAAGATGGCAGCAAAGTTGAAAGCCGAACCCTTTCCTATTTTAGCAGTTCCAAGTATCCTGGACGAATATAGGGGCGAGGGGCTACACTGACAGTGAGCAGGATGCACTCTAGGTCATTGTGGACAGGCACGGAGCTCTTGAGAGCGCTGCTCAAAGGAAAGGGAATCTCTACCTGGATGGTTGGCCTGGAAACTAAATAATGACTAATGCCAGGCCAGTCCTGTTATCCTAGGGTGGGTGTGGATGGCCCTGGGCTCCTCTCCGTATCCTGGTATCCTGACGAAGGTCATGAGAGAACCAGCTCTGGTTTACAGACTCGAGGCAGGAGCTGGAGGCGGTCAGCACATTACCAGCCTGTCAGGGATGAAAGGCAGCTTGGGCATGGAGAGGCCCAGAGGCAAGCCTCAGAGCAAGAGAGAGGAGGTGGGAAGTCCATTCAGAGGCAGACACCGATTCCAAGTTCCAGTTACAGCTGATCTATGGACCCCCCCGAGCCCACCCCCAGAACTGCCGCAACTCTTCAAAGGCTTTTATTCTTTGAAATAGAGTTGCCGTTGAATTAACAGCCTACAGGAGAGACCAGCCTGGGCTGTGGTCTCACTAGAGCCCAATGCCCCCTTAGGCCCAGAGCAGAAAGAAGAGTGAGTTCCCTACCTGGATTTAAGAACTCGGACCACTTTGGACTGGTATGTTCAATCTCTCTTATAATGCTAAATTCCACTGCTGAAGCCTCCAGAAATGATCTCTTCTGCTACATCAAGCCTGGGAGTTTACACAATGATACACTATGTTTTACCTTCAAAGACAATGTTCCTAACATGAGTAGGGCAAATTAGAAATGTTTTTTTGTTTTTTAAAGCTGTAACGGATTTGGGCTGTCTTACTCTCTGGCTGAGGACATACATTTGTGAGTGAGCAGGTTGATAAAGAAAGCTAACTAGCCAATAATGAGAATGAGTCAGGCTGGCTGTCAGTCTTCAAACCAATGGAGCTAGCCAGCCTGGGGTGGAAACCAGGGTGGGGAGGGAGACCCCTCAGTGGAGAGTCCACTTCTGCACTCTTGAGCAGTGACCCTCAGTGAGGGGAAGGGCAGTTTCTGCAAACACATAATTCCCATTACTTTTGTTTTCAGCCATGAAAGACAGGAAAATACAATTTTCTGTTCACCAAGGTGGCAAAAAGGTGCTAAATACTGCTCGGAAACAAATGCCACTGATCCCTGTCATAAAGAACAGCAAGTCATCTACATGAAGGCTGCCCTGCTCAAAGTGGTCAGCACTCAAATGCATAAAGATTTCCAAGAGTCCTGAAGACAGCCAGCCAGCACTGCTTATCACACACACGGGAACCCTGAACAACTGACTCCATCCCAAGAACATTGTGAGGTTCAAATGACATTATGCGAGTGAAGGTGCTCTGAAAATTTGCTAAGTTCCACAGAAATCCCAGATATCATCATAAGCGAAGAGCTTATAATAGCCATTACCAATGGCTAGCTCCACTGGTAATCGTATATGGGTTAGAGAAGAATATTAAGTTTCTTAAGTCTTAAAATGAGTA